CCTGGCGCGGCCGGCCGGCCCCGGCGCTGCCGCGGCTCCGCCGAGCCAAGGAGGCCCCGATCAGACAGCCCGAGCGGCAGATAGCAGGGAGACTGGCGCCAGACGGCCCCTTTTGTTTATCTGACAGCTAAATATCAAGGCAATCACCGCCTCGCTGCCCTGCCTCCAACCCCCAGAGCTAAGACAAACAGTTTTGCTAAAAGAATGCCACTGTTATCATAAGTTCCTATCTTTTTTCTTTCTTTTTTTTTTTTTTTTTTTTCCTTTCTCATGGCTCTGCCTTTATTTTCTCTGTACTTTTCTAATTCCAGAGTCTCCCCCTCCACCCTACTCCAGATATCCAATGGATTTTCTCAAACCAACCGGTAAGTGGACTTTTTCAAGGCGGACTGCAGATAAAAAAGGGAAAACAGCCCCTTTCTCAGGGGAGATGCCTCCTGCCTTTGTCACGCCGCGATGCGTTTTGCTTTTGGGCTGCTTGCGTGCTTCTGTACCCTCTGATACCCCCTGGAAGAACTAACACAGAATTTAATCTAAGAACACCCTCTGCACAAAGCGGGATGTTAAAACTCGGGCAGGAAACTTTAGGAGGGATTGCGATGCAGCGCAGGCCTTCGCCGCTCAGGTCACTTGGGGAGGCAGGAGAACCGTGGGCTCCGGTTGTAAGCGGCAGCGGTGCTGCCTGCTCCCGCGCCCCTGGGTGAATTTGTAGGGGTTGGGGTTGGGATCCAGCACAGCTCGGCCTGGCATCGCCGCGATGGCTGGGGAATCCCGGTGAGGCTCCACAAATGGAGTTGCTAGGAATCGTTCCGTGTTTCAAGGGAGCCTAATCCCACCTTGTCAGGCTGGAAAAATTGGGAAAGGGGGTGGAAGAGTCGCTTGTTTTTTCATTTTTATTTTGTTTTTTTAGCACCGCTTTGCATGCCTGTTGCTTGTAATTGAATGTCAGGGTGCCAGGGGAGAAGCCCATTTGAGGCTGGCACCAGCTCTTTTGCGGTTGTCTGCATAAACTCTTGGTTGGCAGCGCGCTCGCCGGGTGTGAGATAAATCGGGCTGGAAGAAGGAGGAGAGGTGGGGAGAATCGGAAACGGAGGGGGGAGCTCGGGGAGGGGCAGCTCCTGGCTCCCCAAGGATGAGTGGGTCTGGAGTGTCGGCTGGAGCACGGTGGTCTCTGCGGTCGTGCCCCTCGGTCACAGCAGGCAGGAGGGGCACGGCGGGGCCGGGGGGCAAAGATAGATGTGTTTCTGAAGACCAATATCGGGTGGTTTTGGGTTTTTTTTTTTTGCCACAAGAGCAGTTTCTATAAAATCGCTGCTCTTCAGATGCTCGGGACTAGAAGAAACCCCAAACTTGAGGTTGCTTTGGACACGTAGGGTACCGTTGTGGGGGTCCCATCCTGCCCACTGCTCCCTCGCAGGCTGGACTGTTGTTTTTCCCCTCTAAGCAACACTAATAACTCTTTTTATGCCTTGTGGAAATAAGCAAAGCTGTTTAACAAACAATCGGGTTGCAAAGCATGAAATATTTTGCCTCCGCGTGAAAAAACAGGAGATAAAGGCTTATGAATGAAAGAGGGATATCGGGAGCAGGCGCAACATCCCGAGCACGTGCTGGGATGCGGAAGGGTGGTTCCGTAGTAGACTCTGAGGGTCTGCTGGGTCGCAAAGTTTTGCGGGTTTGGGTGAGGTTGGCATCGTTTCGACTGCGTCCCCGCGGGGCAGTGCTCCCCCAAAAGCTTGTGTTTCTGCCTCTATTGCCTTCGTTTCTACCCAACGATGATCCTGGCGCGGGATGCAAAGGGGTTCGGAGCCGCGGGAGAGAAGGGTTAAAGCTTGCCTTCAGTTTCCTGTAAAGATGTTAGGATAAATCTATTAGCAGGGTTTAAACATCCAATCTGCCTCTGCCAGGACCTCATTTTCAGTTAGCCGAGTGATATATTTATTCATTAGCAAGTGTTGACATAAGGTAGCAAAATGTGTGTAAACAGAAAAGCCGCAGAACATGAATGTGCCATTTCGAAAGGAAAAGTTATTCCTATCGGCCAATAGGAAGTGATTAACGCTGCCCATCGGAAACGCAGAAACAACTGGGTTACTCACCAAAAAGTCCTCCTTTTTTTTCCTTTTTAAAAGAAAAACCCATTTGGCAGCTGAACTCTGACTAACGGGGCCGTGACAGGCACAAGCGGAGCCTGGAAGTCTGTTGTCGCAGGTGGGTTTTGCAAGCTCAGGGTTTCTCGGCGTTTCCTCTGCGGAGGGACCGAGGGTTTCCCGTCCCAGCATCGGTGCCATCTCCTGCGGCATTTTCCCGGCCGCGTGTCGATTGCTGGCCATGGGCTGGCTAGATGGAAGAGGGACAGTAGACGACGGTGGGAGGGTGTGAAGCCTTTTACCTGGCTGATGCACACGTGCCATCTTCTCCTCTGGGACCTTGGGTGGGAACGGTCCCTCCAGTTTAGACTTGGGCAACTGCGTGGCAACTGCATCTGCAAGTGGAGCTGGGAACATGCATCCAGCCGAAACTTCCGCTTTTCCATCAAGCGTGATAGTGGTAATAAAAATATTTAAGTATTTAGTGCTACGTCTGGTAAGTGCTTCATATGGACAGACAGACAGTGCCCGTGATCATAGAATCACAGAGTGGTTTGGGCTGGAAGGGACCTCTCAAGGCCATCTAGTCCAACCCCCCTGCCATGAGCAGGGACATCTTCAACTCGATCAGGTCGCTCAAAGCCCCGTCCGACCTGACCTGGAACGTTTCCAGGGATGGGGCATCCACCACCTCTCTGGGCAACCTGTGCCAGTGCTTCACCACCCTCAGCGTAAAACATTTCTTCCTTCTGTCTAGTCTGAATCTCCCCTTTTTTCGTTTAAAACCATTATGATGGGGATTACGTTTTTTTTCTTGGAGGTGATGGAGGCTGAGACAGGCTGTGTTGCTGGCTGGGGGAAAGCAGGGATGGACGGGGAGCTGGGGCTCTGCTGCAGCCAGGGAAATGCCACATCAGACAGTGTCGATAGAATAGATCTGGTATTTGTGCACTCGCCGTAGAGCGGAAAGATCTGCCCTTGACGGGCGGGTTACCTGCAGGAAGGCTGTAAGTCCAGGCTGGCTTGCTTGTTCATCCAGGAGAGGACTTTTCCCTCTTCCTTACATGGATGGGTGATGGTGGCTAGCGCGGGGCCGGGCTCACCCTGCAGTCCTGGAGGCATGTGGGAGCTCAGCATCCCCGATATCCCTGCAGGAGCTGCCACTTGCGGCTGTGTCGGAAGCAAGATGGATAGTGGTGCCCGCAAATCACTCAAGCAGATGTTTTGACCCATCATTAAGTGGGACAAGGGACTGCAAGTGGCTGTGTCCATCGTGCTACTGGGTGGCTGCTCATGGTGGGGCTGGAGTATGAGAGTGCAGGAAACCCGCTGAGATACCGCTGCAGAGCCAAATGCCCTCCTGTGGCATCGACTTGCAGGGGAGCTGGAGGTTTGACAGCTTCCAGGAACTATTCAGCGCCTTGCGAGGCTGGGCTGGTGGCCACCAGGAATATTGTATGTCTCTGCGATGGTTTTACATTGTGGGAAGGCAGTTTTGGGAGGAGGTTCACCTTCAGTTGGCTTGATCGCACCTCTGATCCTACGACCCCTCTGATGCTGAAAATAAAACAAGCCCGAGTACCCCCTACTAGCGAGAGCCCTAGGCAGATCCGCGGGAGATGGGAAGAGTGCGAGGATGAAACCAGCCACGTGTAGAGCAGAGAGCCCAGGAGGGTCCCGCTTTTGGGCTTATCCCACACCTGACCATCATGCTTGGTCTAGCGTCAAGGTGCATCAGCTCTGAGTCCTCTAAAGAGACTTCAGAGGGTAATTAATGGATGAAGGGAACTGGCCGGTGGATGATGGGACACGGGAAGAGAGCTGTCAGCTGTAAAGAAGCCTTGAAAGCACACTTGGGCTTTCCTTTGATGGGTAGTGTGGATCAGGGAGTGGTCCAGCTGTTCCGGGAGGCTCTGAATCTGTCCGTGTTTTCAGCCTCGGTGCAGAAATGCCAAATGGCACATAGATTCGGAGTCAAACCAGAGCAGCGCTGCCGTAACGCCAGCATCACCCCATTGCTAGGGTTATGCATTTCAGGCTGGGATAGGATTCTCTCCTGCCATCCTGTCCAGTGTGCTGACGGAGGACCTTGTCACATGCGATACCTAGAGTAAGACAACATGGAAAGGGCAAATGATGTCCTTTATCCCATCAGGGAGCTGTAACTGGGGGCAGATGGAGCCCGGCGCGGGGGAGGCTGGTCCAGCCTACGTTCAGAAAACATCTGTAGCCCCACGGCGTTGAAGCCGTCTCAGGGAAAAGGGCATGGGGAATCTTCTGTCTGGATCAGAAAGGGTTAAAAAAAGAAAACGCATATTTCTTTAAAGCATAGAAAGCAGGACGAGGCATTTAGAGAGTGTATCGTATACAGTATTTCACAAGTAAGTCCATTTCCTGTCTCCCCTATTGTTTTTGGTTTGATTAAGTATATCCTGTTAAACTGTATATTCCTGTTACGGCTTCTACTTTACTCTGGTAAAATGAGGTTATGCAGACAGGAATTTCTTTTTCACTGGGATTTCAGGGATGAAATCTGGAAAAACTACTTTTATCAGTAGGGAGAAAATTATCTCGGCTCTCCTGGTGGTGGGCCTTGCTTGGAGATACAGCCGTGAGCAAAATGATGTCATTAGGGAGCCCAAATTTGATGAAACCCCAAGTCCCCGAGAACCCGCTGAGGGCCAGAAGGTCGCGTGAACTTCATGGATCTTCTCGGGCATGGAGCGTCCTTGAGCTTGTCTCCCCCGTGGTAGCGACCGAAAACGTGGAGTTTGCCTGTAGGACCAGGGCGTCGGTGTTGGCTCCCGGCTGTTGTCACCTGGAGGAGCAGGCATGGGATGGAACGGTCCAAACCCTGAGCTCGAATGCCTCCATGCATCAGGAGAAACCTCTAACGGGGCGACCGATCTGACCCTGCCCTTGGCCTTCGGTGGCGCATGGAGGAGTATGCCCGCCTGTCCCAGGAGGTGCCAGCGGGGTGTAAGACCTGCCAGCAGCTGGCGGTGACAAAAATCGAGCGGGGGAACACAAAGATAGACCGTTTGCCGCAAAAGGGTGGCGATGAGACATTTCCCTTTCGGTTCCCATTTCGGTGAGTTACAGGCGTTGACTAAATTGGGCACATACAGCCACGATTTAAGCATTTTTGGGAGCTCGCTTACATCAGAACGACGACAACCTTGATCTCATTATCCGGTGACTTGGCCAGAGAGGTGGCAGCCAGTCTGTAATTTTTGCCGGTCTATAATCAGCGTTGGCTGGTGATGAAGCGCAGCGCGCAGCCTTGATTGAGGCGACGAGTTAGGGTGGATGCTTCTTGATGAACTACCGTCTCTGCGCGGACAATTAGTAATCGCTTCCTGCTAAACCCTTTGGAATGTGTGTTCTGCTCGCGGCGATGCTGGGAGCCTGCGAAAAACCGCCTATATGCTGATTTTTTTTTATTTTTTTTTTCTTTTCCTCCGCTCCAGCAGATTGTCCAGACTCTGTGCCTTCCTCCACTGAAACAGGGGGAACTAATTGTCTAGCCCCTGGGGGGCTTTCAGGTAAGACATCTCTTGTTGCCCTTGATTTTGACCGTGGGTTGCGTTGACCGAGGGTCCCGACGGAAGGCGAAGTGATGCTGGGGAGTTTTGGGGCTGCGAGTCATTAAGAAAGGCGTGCTCGAAGGGGGAATTAGGTTTCGTTTCAGTAGCCGCCGCGTACCTCTCATGCAGAGGATGTGTTGAAATCCCAGGCGAGGTTCTCCATTCCCGAAAGCCCGTATTTCCTTTGAATTCCAGCCTTACGCTCCATTAATTTTTGGAGCGAGGCAGGAAGAGGCGTGTTGGGGAAGGCGAAGTGATGTTGGCCACCCGTTCGTTCGGATGCACGGATTATCGGAGCTGGTGCGGTTGTGCCTTGCAGAAGGATTCGGCATCAAGTTCTCCTTGACTTGGTGGTGGCACCTCTTGTCTGGGGGACGAGAGCTGTGCTTGGGCTTTGGTCCTGGTAGGGAAACCAGCATCCCACATCTCACGCGTGAGGCTCGTGGTACCCAGGGAGGAAAGGTGACCCCGTTTTTTGCAGAAGATGTTGCAGAGGGAGTTGGACTCGATGATCCTTGCGAGTCCCTTCCGACCTGAGATATTCTATGATTTCCCCTCGTTTTCCCATTTGCCATCTCCTTCAGCCTCCAGGTGCCGTTATGGGATGGGGGTTCAGAAGGTGTTTTCCTCACCCCTCCTGGGCTTTTCATAGAATCCTAGAACGGTTTGGGTTGGAAGGGACCTTTAAAGGTCATCTGGTCCAACTCCCAACACCGTCTCCAAGGTGTGACGTCTCCAGCAGCTCATCTCCCAGCCCGGACCAGCCAACTCTGTGGCTGGGCTCGCTCTCTACCAGGATTCGAGTGTCTGAAACCATGTACCTGCATGTACTCGCTGATGTTTGAAGGTGCTTTCCTTTTGTGGGGATGTCTCCATGATTTATGATTTATTCATCGCCCTGAAACTGGAATTTCAGACCTAGGTCGGCGGTGGCCGCACGCGCGCGTGCATCTGCCCCTGCCTCTCTCCAGGAATTGCGTTCGGTGTGGATGTCTTTAAGTGAGCCTTGTTTGTTTTTCTTTGGGTGTAATATATACCCTGTCTGTTATTTGAGAGGGGAGCATATTGTTTGTTCAAAGGCCCTAATGAGAATTAATCAAACGGAGGGGGAGAGGGAACAGAGAAACTTGTCGCTGCCTTTTTTTTTTTTTTAATGCAGATGACTGTTGGGTTTGTCTTTATTTTTTTGCTATTGGAGCCTATAGCTTTAGGGAAGGAAAAAAAGAGACTGTTAAAAGAAAAAAGACAAGAAGCAAAACAACACAATAAGGATGTTGTTAGATCTTTTTTTCTTTTTTTTTTTTTTTTTTTTCCTTTTTCCTCCTGAAATACACCCGTTGCGGAGGGGAGGAGAGAGTTCAGTTCCACAGGATACCACATGAAATAAGCAGAGGAAGTACTCGCTTTTAAAAGGGGGCTTTCTGTAAGGTTCAGCCTATTGATAACATCTCGTCTGGCTGCTCTGCTCCCGAAGGGAAGGCGGGAGGTGGGGGCTTGGGCTGCAGGAAATAACACGGCTCGTTCCCGGTGCCTCCCGAAGGGCCGCTGGAAGGGGAGCCCCAGCTCCTTAATAGAGCCTCCTCCCCAAAAGAAAGCACGTTTCCTCCTGAAAATGCGTTTTTTTTTAACTTATTTTACTATATTATTTCATTGGGTTGGATATTTTTTTTTTTTTGTCTTCCTTATCAAAG